GAGAGATTTTTGTCTTACATGTGCAGTTTCTAAGGTAAACCCAGTTGGCTGTAGACTTTCTGCAGTAGCAGCAGCACTAGTCAACTCTTGGTCAGGATCAGATTCAGCACCATCAGAACTGCCATCTTTTCTAACAAGAAACTCCATGCCACTTTCCTCCTCAGCTTCCTCTTCTGAGAATTAAATTTAATATACCGTTGAACTACTCTACCTTTTATATTGTTTTATGCCATAGATGTGTGCCAGATTTCTGATAGCAGAGAGCTCACAAGTTAAATTGAGTTACAAGTAAAATACTCATCATACCTTCAGAGGACTCTTCAGAACTTTCTTCTTCAGATGGGAAATCTGTGGTGTCATCTCCAGTTGCATATTGCTTCATRAGTTCATCAAGAGGCATATCACCTGCATTGCACAAAACAGTAACCCTTATAAGACACTGGAGAAATAGCATTTGTTTCTATCTTTTGCTCTGGCGCCTGCACATAGGCACATGGCATTTTGGCTAGCAGGTGATGTACAGTGTAACACATGTTTATTACACTGGTTGTCTTGTCTTTACTGACATCCTTGTATGTGTTGACACCCAAGCAAGTATTGACAAGTTTAACCAGCAATTTACCAGTACCTTCTTTTTCAAGTTCAGCAATCTCTTTGTCATGATCGACATCTTCCTCAGCATGTTCTTGTTCATCCAAAGTTTGCTCATCATCTTCAACATCCTCTGTCATCACAAAGTCTCCATCTGCATCACTCTTTTCTTCTTTMGAGCTAAGAAATAGAATATTTGATTATCACTTGAAACAAACACAAGAATTGTTTGTGTGCTTTTATTACAAATGTTAGTGAAAAGGCAATGACAATTGTATGACAACYGCTAACCTTGTTGGCTGAACATCTAAGGGTTTCTYTTCCTCTTTGTCTTTAGATTCCACGTCAACTTCAATGTCACTTTCATTGCTTTCATTACTAAAACAAATCCCCACTCATTGATAACGGCATT